CATTTCTTGTAGAATAGTTCCCATCAACCAGAACATTACAAAATTAGCAAAAAATTTCACCTTTTTCCAAATCAGGCAGTATGAAATATATAATACTAAATACGAACTTCAGTCCTGTTGTTGTTGTTTTATAAATATCACCAGACACACATCTGGAGTTTTAGTGCTTGCCACAATGTAGTTTTCTGGTTGACATATATCTAAGAAATGCGTATATTAACACCCAGGCTATAGAGCCAAGCACATTTTAGTGCAGGCTACAGCTGAAAGAATATGTTTCCATTCCTTGTCCATCTGTTCTTTGCAACATAAATTTAAACTAGAAACACAGAATAAGTTTCATGAGAAGTAAGTATAAATAGGGTTTAGAACAGCAAGGTGAATGTTCTAAGTTATTATGACTTGTTAACATTTGATTTTGTAGCTAGAAAGTTGTGTTCACTTGGAGAAATCTCATGCTACAGATATAGCTTAAAGTTTAAAAACTACTTTTTTTTATCAGTTCACTTATAAAAGTACAGTGGCTTGGTCAGACTTTCTGTCTTAAGGGGCTTATACTAAATTTGCCAATCATCACGAGTGTAACAAAGTTTGAGTTTTCAAAGGGCTGTTTGCCACACACAGTAGAACTACACTGAACGTGTATCATCTACATCTGTGAACTCCATGCTAAAATGGATTCATTAATGGGGAATGAGGGTTTTCTGTACAAAATGGAGTCCAATCAAATACATTTGCTTTTCTTCAAATCCAGTCTCAGCTATGATCAGCTGTTATGTGACCATCTTTTTAAGCCTTCATGCCCTCTCACTTTAAGCCTGCTTTTTCTGCTATAAAAACAATATTAAACTCTTTATTTACATTTGAAACACATGAGAATATTAAAATAGAAAAGGACCATATATGTGCACCTAAAATTTTGCCTCTAAGGGTCATGCTGTCTGAGCTCAGTTGGTAGATGGGCTGTGTGTGCTGGGGCTCGGCCCCACAAGGGTCTCTTGGTGTCAGTGCCTCCTCTGCTTTCTGGCAGAATGAAAATCTTCAGGTGGGAAAGGGACCTTGCAACTCCTACTATCCAAACTCCCTACCTACAGAATATTTCTGTATTCGTTTTAAGTCTCTCTTTTTGATATGGTTGATTTATCAAATATAGCATATTGGTTGTGTATCAAAGTGGCTGGGTTCAAATTTCGGCTCTGTTACTTTCTGGGTATGTGAATTTAATGAGTTAACTTCTCTCATTTTCAGCTTCCCTGTCTGTATATGGGAATAACTCTGTCTTGAGGGGGGGGCAAAGGAGATGATATACAAAAACTGATTAGCCCAGTGACAGGCACCTAGTAAATACTCAACAATTAGCCACTATTACTAGCAGCCTCTTTCTACTATGTTCTGTTAAAAGAAATGATCGCACTACATTCATTGTTAGTCTGCTTCTAAATAGTATTTTGGTAGCATATTCCTTATCATTAGAGAAACATTTCAAGAAACTAATATTGTGTCTTAAACTCCTATACAATTACCTATGACTGTGGACCAGTTACTCAATGATTTAGAGACTCAGTCTTTTTACCTGTAAAATGAGAAATTTGAATTCCATGATCTCTGTCTTTTGTTCAAGTAATTTAACAAAATCATGTTTGACAGCATATCCTCATACTTTATTTATAGTGCTGAAATGTGTATTTGCTGCCAAATGTCTAATGTGGGATGTATAAGTGTTCCATATATACATGTGGAATAACATTAAGTTTGTTGATGTTAAAAACTACTGGTATATTTTTTGGCATTATTTGGCCCAGAATCCATTCTTCCCATTTTGTTTTAGAATAAGCTGTCAGAAAATCGTTTCCCACAGCACCTCAAGGTTTAGTTAAACTGAGAGTTTCAGAAGTAGGCCATCTTTTCATTACTTTCAGTATCCAGACAAAGAAACTTTCTTTGTGAACAAGTCATCATTTTTCATCTCCACAGTAATACCTACTGACATTAAATTGTGCACATATGTATAAGTACTGCAGCTTACAAGGCTGCTGTTTTCTTTCAGATCTAAGTGACCAGCTGCTAGAGGTGGTTGGCTTGGAAGGAGCCATGGAGATGGGGCAAATATACACAGGACTGAAGAGTGCTGGGCGGCGGCTGGCTCAGTGTGCCTCTGTGGTCATCAGGTACTTCTATCCCTGTAATTGAGAAAGAGGGGTGATGTGGCATAACTAATTGAAAGTAGGCAAGTCTCTGATAATGACATCTGTCTTATTTGTGCCACAAATTATCAATGATTAGTAGTGATGTATTTCAGAAGAATAGATACTGGCAGATTTTACAGAGTTTTGGTTAAGCATTACTTACTGGGTTCATTTGAAATTTTTTCTGTCTTGTTGAAACGATGGATACACTTACAACATACAAACTTCACCCTTCTAATCTGATTCACACTCAGATTAGTTTAATGAGGTACCAGAGTATTCACTGAAAGCACTGTGGAAGCACCATTAACTTGAATGCTTTCATGGTCTAAAGTGTGCCATTGTTTCTATGAATTTAAATAATGAATCATCATAAAGTAAGATTTTATACGTGTATTAAATTGAAACCTTTTCAAGAAACATTCTCCAAAATTCTATCTGTAGAGAAAAAGGTCTATTTTGACCCTAAGGTGAAACCATGGGCTGTAACACAGATATAATTGGTGTTATTTATATGAAAGTGTTCATACTGGAAAATCTGAGACATCAAACACCTTTTCCCCAGATTTGCAATGTGGTTTTGCATGAAAAACAGGAGGCTGTCAGAATTCTGACTGTGTCATTAAACATAAACCTAGATTTTTCTTTTGGCATCCAGAATTTTTTTTTATATGTCACCACATTTACCAAAAGGCTCTTGACATTCCTGTGACTTAGGTACATGTAAGGCTATTTGTTAATAGTCAAGAGTTGAGGTATCTTTCAGAAGAGGAAAATTTAGAGCCCAGGTATTGCCATATTTGCATTCTCTGGTCTCATCATCTTTTATCTTACATATAGTCAGTTATATAAAGTATTACAGTATTATACTAACAATGAAATATTTCCTGCCAGGACTAGCAAGTCTCTGCCAATGCAGATCGATGGGGAACCATGGATGCAGACCCCATGCACAGTGAGTCCAGAGTAATTGAAATGTTCAGTCACTTTCATATCATAGACTCTTGTAACTAACTAATTATATATCCCTTTAACTAAATAATCACAACACCTAAGCTTTGGACCTGTCTCCAAGAACTTTTTTTTTTTTTTGACAGAGATGTTGCATTCAAGTTTTAGGCATTATATGCCCTTGGCAATGATTTAGCTTTTGAATGTTTGTTGTAGCCTAAGTATATAACCTTTGGATACAATAGGCCAATTGGAGCCAAACAAGATTGATACAGTTCTTTTATTTGAGAGCACCTTATGGTGAAGTTATTTATGGGACCTACAGATATAAGTCACCCAAATTTATTACCCATCTGTTCTTTTGCCTCCATTTAGGGATTTGTGGGGATTTCTTCTCTATAGAAAACTTTCCCCATAGTTGTTTTCTCCATAATGAGATGTCATCTAAGTCCGACATTTAAACCCAAAAAATTTCAGTTTCCATTTGTACAGTGAATATTTTATTACATTTCAGGACTGTGCTAGGCACTGCTCTTGGCACAAAGAATAGACCATGGTAAGTAAAAGAACAGGGAATAGAACATGATCAATAGTATAATTGTCATCAAGGAACTTACATTCTGTCAATAGGAGATTAAATGACTCAGTAAATATAAACAAACCGATACCTCACAAATATAACTCCAGATTACAAGAGTTAAAAAAATAAAGCGAAATGATGAGGAGGAACTGGCTGAAGTGTAAAGGATACTACTTTTGATAAGAGTATCTTGGGGTCTCTCTTCAAGGAGTCAAAAGCTCAATGTGTTAGAGAAATAAGGAGGATGGTATGACCAAAGCTTCTGGGGGTCGGGGGGAGATCAGTAATAGATAAAGTAGAAAAGATAGGCAGAAGATGGATCATGTAGGAAAAATGATGATAAAGAGTTAACATCTGATTCTAAGTACAATAGAAAGCTATTGAACGATTTAGGCATCATTTGATTTACCTGTTTAAAGGTCACCTTGGCTGCCATGGAGGGAGTGGATTGCACTGAGTAGTAGCTGGGAGACAGGGTCTGTCAGGGTAGTCTGGGCTTGGGCAGGGAGCTGGATGGATTTGAACTACATTCTGGAAGCCGAACAGGGAGAACTTGCTAATGAGGTACCTTTGCAGGGAAGATAGGGGAAGAGGGAAAAAGATGAATCAGGTTAGTTCTTACCTGTGAATGATGGTGCCATTTCCTGAGTCATTAAGATAGAGGAAAACTGACTAGGGAGTGACAGGGGAGGTCTTAATCTTAGATTAGTACAAGCATTGTGCAAAGTACTGGAGTTATATGGGAGTTTTTTTTAATTGAGGTATAATACAGTTACTCAATGATTTAGAGACTCAGTCTTTTTACCTGTAAAATGAGAAATTTGAATTCCATGATCTCTGTCTTTTGTTCAAGTAATTTAACAAAATCATGTTTGACAGCATATCCTCATATTTTATTTATAGTGCTGAAATGTGTATTTGCTGCCAAATGTCTAATGTGGGATGTATAAGTGTTCCATATATACATGTGGAATAACATTAAGTTTGTTGATGTTAAAAACTACTGGTATATTTTTTGGCATTATTTGGCCCAGAATCCATTCTTCCCATTTTGTTTTAGAATAAGCTGTCAGAAAATCGTTTCCCACAGCACCTCAAGGTTTAGTTAAACTGAGAGTTTCAGAAGTAGGCCATCTTTTCATTACTTTCAGTATCCAGACAAAGAAACTTTCTTTGTGAACAAGTCATCATTTTTCATCTCCACAGTAATACCTACTGACATTAAATTGTGCACATATGTATAAGTACTGCAGCTTACAAGGCTGCTGTTTTCTTTCAGATCTAAGTGACCAGCTGCTAGAGGTGGTTGGCTTGGAAGGAGCCATGGAGATGGGGCAAATATACACAGGACTGAAGAGTGCTGGGCGGCGGCTGGCTCAGTGTGCCTCTGTGGTCATCAGGTACTTCTATCCCTGTAATTGAGAAAGAGGGGTGATGTGGCATAACTAATTGAAAGTAGGCAAGTCTCTGATAATGACATCTGTCTTATTTGTGCCACAAATTATCAATGATTAGTAGTGATGTATTTCAGAAGAATAGATACTGGCAGATTTTACAGAGTTTTGGTTAAGCATTACTTACTGGGTTCATTTGAAATTTTTTCTGTCTTGTTGAAACGATGGATACACTTACAACATACAAACTTCACCCTTCTAATCTGATTCACACTCAGATTAGTTTAATGAGGTACCAGAGTATTCACTGAAAGCACTGTGGAAGCACCATTAACTTGAATGCTTTCATGGTCTAAAGTGTGCCATTGTTTCTATGAATTTAAATAATGAATCATCATAAAGTAAGATTTTATACGTGTATTAAATTGAAACCTTTTCAAGAAACATTCTCCAAAATTCTATCTGTAGAGAAAAAGGTCTATTTTGACCCTAAGGTGAAACCATGGGCTGTAACACAGATATAATTGGTGTTATTTATATGAAAGTGTTCATACTGGAAATCTGAGACATCAAACACCTTTTCCCCAGATTTGCAATGTGGTTTTGCATGAAAAACAGGAGGCTGTCAGAATTCTGACTGTGTCATTAAACATAAACCTAGATTTTTCTTTTGGCATCCAGAATTTTTTTTTATATGTCACCACATTTACCAAAAGGCTCTTGACATTCCTGTGACTTAGGTACATGTAAGGCTATTTGTTAATAGTCAAGAGTTGAGGTATCTTTCAGAAGAGGAAAATTTAGAGCCCAGGTATTGCCATATTTGCATTCTCTGGTCTCATCATCTTTTATCTTACATATAGTCGGTTATATAAAGTATTACAGTATTATACTAACAATGAAATATTTCCTGCCAGGACTAGCAAGTCTCTGCCAATGCAGATCGATGGGGAACCATGGATGCAGACCCCATGCACAGTGAGTCCAGAGTAATTGAAATGTTCAGTCACTTTCATATCATAGACTCTTGTAACTAACTAATTATATATCCCTTTAACTAAATAATCACAACACCTAAGCTTTGGACCTGTCTCCAAGAACTTTTTTTTTTTTTTGACAGAGATGTTGCATTCAAGTTTTAGGCATTATATGCCCTTGGCAATGATTTAGCTTTTGAATGTTTGTTGTAGCCTAAGTATATAACCTTTGGATACAATAGGCCAATTGGAGCCAAACAAGATTGATACAGTTCTTTTACTTGAGAGCACCTTATGGTGAAGTTATTTATGGGACCTACAGATATAAGTCACCCAAATTTATTACCCATCTGTTCTTTTGCCTCCATTTAGGGATTTGTGGGGATTTCTTCTCTATAGAAAACTTTCCCCATAGTTGTTTTCTCCATAATGAGATGTCATCTAAGTCCGACATTTAAACCCAAAAAATTTCAGTTTCCATTTGTACAGTGAATATTTTATTACATTTCAGGACTGTGCTAGGCACTGCTCTTGGCACAAAGAATAGACCATGGTAAGTAAAAGAACAGGGAATAGAACATGATCAATAGTATAATTGTCATCAAGGAACTTACATTCTGTCAATAGGAGATTAAATGACTCAGTAAATATAAACAAACCGATACCTTACAAATATAACTCCAGATTACAAGAGTTAAAAAAATAAAGCGAAATGATGAGGAGGAACTGGCTGAAGTGTAAAGGATACTACTTTTGATAAGAGTATCTTGGGGTCTCTCTTCAAGGAGTCAAAAGCTCAATGTGTTAGAGAAATAAGGAGGATGGTATGACCAAAGCTTCTGGGGGTCGGGGGGAGATCAGTAATAGATAAAGTAGAAAAGATAGGCAGAAGATGGATCATGTAGGAAAAATGATGATAAAGAGTTAACATCTGATTCTAAGTACAATAGAAAGCTATTGAACGATTTAGGCATCATTTGATTTACCTGTTTAAAGGTCACCTTGGCTGCCATGGAGGGAGTGGATTGCACTGAGTAGTAGCTGGGAGACAGGGTCTGTCAGGGTAGTCTGGGCTTGGGCAGGGAGCTGGATGGATTTGAACTACATTCTGGAAGCCGAACAGGGAGAACTTGCTAATGAGGTACCTTTGCAGGGAAGATAGGGGAAGAGGGAAAAAGATGAATCAGGTTAGTTCTTACCTGTGAATGATGGTGCCATTTCCTGAGTCATTAAGATAGAGGAAAACTGACTAGGGAGTGACAGGGGAGGTCTTAATCTTAGATTAGTACAAGCATTGTGCAAAGTACTGGAGTTATATGGGAGTTTTTTTTAATTGAGGTATAATTGCCCTAAAACATTGTATTAGCATTTATTAAATAGTCACACAAACTCTAAATAATGGATATCACCATTTTCAGATGGAGAAAACTGAGGCTTTGGAAGGTTAAATAACTTACTCAACATCATATTTGTAAAAGATACAAAATCAAACCTTGGACTCTTTCACTCAAACCCATTCTCTTAACCATTAGTTTAAGCAAATTTAGCTACAGATTTCAAATACAACTTAGCATACTGGAGCATTTAATTTTATCTTTCTAATAGTTTTACTCAAACTATTGGCTCAATGTTTGTATCTAACACATAAATATGACCTTCTGTTTATTCCTGATATATTCCTTTTAGCTACTCAAACCCCAGGTTTGTGAAATCTATTAATTCTCTAATAATAACACAAAACAGTTTTTTCTAAAAATCCCTCTAGACTGTCTACTTCCCATGCCTTCTGCTATCTCTTTATCTGTTTCTGAATATTCTTTAAGAAATTTCTCTTTACCAGCATGTATGTACTTACAGCTTGGCCATTATTCTTCACTTTCCAGATGACACTTTAAGTTCACATTTATACTCACATGAATGTTAAAGGTGTGGCTGAGAGAGGTGGTGGTGGTGGGATGTACTGACGCTGATGGTAGTGGATGGCGATTGCTAACAGGATTATGTTGGCGCAAGTGATAGTCGTCCTGCTGATGACGTGGTGGTGGTTCTGGTGAACTGGGAGGAGGGGCCTTCGGTGGTGGTGGTGTTTGTAGCAGTATTCCTGTTTTTAATCAAAGGTCACTTTTCCTCAGCCTGCGTCACAAGAAAATACATGAAACACAATGAAACCAAACATATTACATGAGCATTCTGTATTCTCTGAGCGTATCTCTTCTCATAGAAAAGGGGAGTTTAGTCCCTCTGCCATGTTTTAAATCAAGAAGAATTAATGGCATCAATAATAGCTAACATGTATTGAGCTTTGAGTTTGTGCCATGTACAGTTTGAGATATTTAACCTGTCTCATTTGACACATTTAATTCTCCCAAAAAAACCTTTGATTAGCTTCATTTTATGTTTAAAGCCCTGATGCAAGCAAAGTTTAAATAGTTTGATTTCACAAAGATAATAGTGGCAGAGTAGAAGCTGAGATACAGGTAGTCTGGCTCCACTCTGCACTCTGCACGGCTCCTCGCCACTGTGGATCTCAGCCCAAAAAGGTCCCAGGCCATCCTCGGGACACTCCACCTCTGGTGTGTGACCTTTGGTATATCACTTACTGCCTTTCTCCAGCTTTCAAAAGCCTCTGCCTATGAAAACCTAGTTAGTGTTTTAGAATAATTTTACCTTACTTTACACAAGCACTCCTAACCATACATTTGTTAACTTCTCTTTCGATTCATCATTGGTCATTCATTTTACCTATTAACTATCATGATCTATACATAATTGTTAAGTTAATAATACTTTTATACAACTGACTAAAAAGTATCTAATTTGCTTTCCTTGTAAACTCTCTTATTCACTTAAAACATTCATTGCAGTGTACAGCGAGCCAAGAACTGTACTAGACTTATAATTGTTATTTTCACTCTGGCATATTCTACTTTTTCCTAAAACCACATGGAGTTCTGAACTTTAAATTCCACTTTAACTGAAGAGAATATTTAGTATTCATAGCATTGATATGTTTTAAATGAAGATCTTTGCTTCAATTGAATAACAGCATTTTTCTTACAGAACATGAGAATCGGTAGAATGTTAAAATTCTTTGCTGAATTTAAATATCCATAAGCTGATATTCAGTTTATGAAGAAATTGCTCTAGATGTAATTTTAGAGCACAGCAGAAGTTCTGTTTTTCTTTAAGTAGAATATATAAAATGGAAAGGCAGTGATAAGTGGGGCTTAAGTCTTACATCAATTAATGCTTTTTTAAGAGATCAAAGTAATACAACTTCTGTAGATGGATGGCAGTGGTGGTCGGACAACACTACGAATATACTCAAGGCCACTGAACTGTATACTTAAAAATGTTAAAATGATCAATTTCATTTTTTTTTTTATGTATGTTTTACCACAGTAAGAAAAGTAATTGAAAAAAAGTTGAGGTAATTACTGACAGATTTCACCAATCCTGAGTTCAAATATCAGGAAAGGAAAAACCAAAGATCTTAAAATTTATCCTTCAAACATGTACTTTGTGATTATTTTTATGTCATTTTTAATTATATCACCATATGGTAATCAACAGAAATTTGTTAAGTGTTACTGTATTCACAGTTTTATAATAGCCACTGAATTAACATAGAATGAATTTTAGCCATATAACTATTAACCATATTAATAAACATATTGAACTAAAGAGACAATTAATTTTAAGACGACTTCTTATTGAAATAGTTCAAGAAGAATCTGTCTTTAGGTTAGACTCTAGAACCTAGCTGTTTTTCCTTTTCTTCTTTCTTCCCAGTCTTCCCTCCTGAGTGTGTCGAATGTACCGACTCTCAATCTGCTCCTATTATGGGGAGAAATAAAAAAGAACAGCTTGGGGAGGAAAGAAGGAAAGTGAACAGTAAGAAATGGGAGGTCATTTACTAGGTCAGATTTCATTTGGCATCTGCATACCCAGCTCCCCCTCACAATGTCTTACAAATCCCCCCCACACACAATTTATTACAAGTTGATGGTGTCCATTAAAATTTTATTAAAGTGAGGAGTGACTATACTAAACCTCAAATTCAGAATAACCAAATTCGACTCATCATCCGTCTCCCTCCATCTCTTCCTTGCCATCAAATAGCGACTTCTTAAATTCCCAAACTCCTGGCTCTTCCCTCTACCATATTAAGTCAGAGGAACCATGTGTACCCAGTTCTTCCTAAACTAAAAATCTGAGAGTCATCTTAGACTTCTCTCCATATTCTCAAATTCAGTTACCATGCCTATCTAATGAGATTTTTTTGTGGAATTTTTTCCTTTCTTTCCATCCCTGTTACCTCTGTCCTAGAGTTGACCCCCATCATTTCTCTCACTCCCAGCAACAGCTACATCAGTCTTTCCCACCTCTGTTTTTTTTCCATTTTAATCTATCCTTCTCTTTTCTACCAGCATAATTACTATAAAAGACTAATCTCACCATGACACTCTTAGATAAAATAATTTAATCATTTTCTGTATGATAAAGTATAATTTGAATCAGGTTTCCTGTTTTTTATTATCTTTTATTTATTTTTCATCTTTTCATGCACTTGCCTCTTCTCCAAAGTGAGACTCATTTCATGCTGCTTCTCCATGAGACCTTCCCTGAACATCACCTTTTCTTCCACTCCTCTGCCCTACCACTGATTCCAATTAATCTAAAAGCCAATGATCCTCAGTGCTTTATAGCTCCATCGAAGCACTGGCTACAATACGTTGAAATTATGAGCTGCTCTGTCTAGCTTCTTTTGATAGACACCAGGTTATTGAGGTCATGGACCATGATTTTGGTCATTTTGTACCCCCAGAGCATAGTGCTGTGACTCATACCTAATTAGGCTGCCAGTAACAAGTACATATTTGAATTTAAATACTTCTTGGGGTAGTATGACAATTTTAAAAATGCTTTCTACCAAATCTCCTTCCACTGAACATAATGTAGGTTGGCTAGCAATTCATTCACATATTTTTTTATATATAA